ATATACAAAAGTGGAAAGAGTAGAATTGGAACCGGTAAATGTTAGTTCGGTCTGTTTCGGGTCAAGACCGACTGGTTTCGCTTTGCAACTTCTTAATATGTGTCTATTTAAATGCGATGTGCTCGAACTAGGCTTCCAACTAAGTTTTTTACCACAATAATTGCAACATGTTTTCCAAATATCAACTCCATTTTTAACCCCAACTTTTTTACGAGTCATATGTCGCCAACAATCCGCAGACTCTTTTTTCGACCTTTTAACCTCGACTACTTCCTCCTCTTCGATATCTTCCAAATCAATTGGAACATTTTGAGATGCATGGTCCCCCAATGGAGTACTCGAACTACCTTTAAACTGATTCATCTCATCACTAGTAAAATCCATGTGTAAGTATATAGTAAAGAATATTGAAAAATTGAGTAAAAGAAATTGGAGAGTAAAATACTGAATATTGCGTAAATAAATTTGAGAGTATAATATTGAATTTGAATATTGAGTAACGAAATTTGAGAGCTCAATTGGAATTTGAATATTGCGTAAAGAAATTTGAGATAGATTGATATAAATTTGTAAAATTTTTCTCGTATTTATAGACAAATAAATATATCCGTTTTAACTATATTTAATTTATAAATTCAAATTTTTGATAAGACAATTCGATTTAAATTTTGTTGTATCGTGCACGCAATCGAAAACGTGCACGTCATCTGCCTGACTGCCTCGAAAATTTGGACTGCCTGTGAGGCAGCTACAATTTTTTGTAGCCAGCTGTGCAGGCAATTAGGTTTTTTAAAAAAATTTAAAATTTTTTTTTTACTTAGTGGACACGGGCCAAAAGTGGCCCGTGACACGGCCGGCCCGAGCCTCGGCTCGGTGCGATCGAGCCCGAGCCCGAGCCAGGCCCTGTTCGGGCTTTTCCCGAGCCGCCGAGTTTTTTTGCCACCACTACATACAAGTAACTTTATTCTCTATGTATCCATGTATTTGGCATACACTAAAAGTCATGTTTTAATTCAAATAAAATTATTTTAATTTCAAGTAAGATTAAATAATATTGCTTTATTTATCAAGTACAAAATTAATCTCTTGTTCACAGTGAGTAAGAGATATGTTGCCGACTGTCGATATGACGTGTGGTGTCGTCACATTGGCTATTGGGGGGTAAATTTTAAAAGAAATAAAAGAAGATATATAAATAAGTAGATGACATTATCCAAGGCAGTGAGATATGGTGCCAGATGGCAGCATACTAGTGGTTGGAGAGATAACATTTCTTTTTTTAGATATCATTGTCCATTAAAAAGATATCCCATTAATTTGAAATATTGATTTATTCATTAATAAACTCAAAATTGATTCATTTTTTGCAGCATAGAATTGAGAGAGAGAGGACAATATGGCAACAAGCAGCATGGCAACTGGATTTGTGGTGGCACCAAATTTCACAGCCAATACAATAAGTGCACCCAAGAGTGGTATGCTATTCTTTTCTTCTAAGAATAACAGCAATTCAAGGTTGGTTGTGAAGGCAGCCGAAGAGGAGGCAGCACCGGTTGCCACCACTGCTCCACCTGCTGCTGAAGTTGAAGCCCCGCCTGCAAAAGCGACCAAGCCACCTCCAATTGGACCCAAGAGGGGCGCAAAGGTGAGTGACAACTTCCTTTGTTTGAACATGTTTGATAAACTAAACTCCATATAATAAGAATAGATTAGATTAAAAACGAAATACGTAACAAAGTTATTAGTTATTTTTAAATTTGATTATTATTATATATTTTATAATAAATTATAATCAGGAACTAAATAATAACTATTAAGTACATTAAAATAAAATGACTCATTAAAATTCAAAATTACAACCTTGATTAAAAATAAAAAATAAAAAAAACCACTACAAGTCTACAACTCCGTAAATATTGAAAAGTAAAATTTAGTATTCTGGCAAATAGTTTTCGAATTCTTCAAGACCATCAAAATAATGATCAAGAGGGAAAGAGAAGAAATTTTACATTTGGTATGATGAGTTGAAAATGATTAAATAAATGGAGTGAAAGTTGCACTATTTTGATGAAATGATCCAAGTAAATTGCATAGTCGACTACAAGGGTAGAATATGGAGTTGATATTGTTGGCGTCTCAGGTGAGAATTCTAAGGAAGGAGTCCTACTGGTACAAGGGAGTTGGCTCCGTTGTGGCAGTTGACCAGGTAATAAACAGAAACATTGACATGACCAACGATGATTTGTGTGACAAAATACATACACAATTCATGTTATTTTTCCCAACTCTTGATATTCAGAGAGGTTTGATGATTTATATGCAGGACCCCAAGACTCGGTATCCAGTCGTGGTGCGGTTCAACAAAGTGAATTATGCGAATGTATCTACAAACAACTATGCATTGGATGAAATCCAGGAAGTCGAATGAGGGAAATCTCATCCCATGTTTTTAATGTAGAATTCCTGTCCTGTTTAATATTGAATACTACAGCTTGGCTTGATTGCTTGTGTATGAATATGGGTATATATCATGCTTCAATACTTTAATTCTCACTAATATTCGATTCATAAAATGTACCACTTTATCAGCACGTTGCCACGCCAGTTTAGTATTCGTCAACCGTTCTTAAATGTAAAAAGCTATTGATAAACAACTACCATATCTGTATGTTCCAAAAAAGGAACTAACCTGGCTTCATTGGCACAATCCACTAGTGACAGAACCCAAGGAACGTGCCTAGCTTACTTGTAAAATGTTAGTATTTAGAATTCCATCTTAAAAAATCAATCTTATTAAAAGTAGTTCAAAACCTTATAAATTGGTCTATGTTTTTATCTTTATTCGATGTGAGATCTTAGAGTAATTACATTTTGTAGTCTTCACCTCTATTACTTGGAGATGTGAATTACTCTAAGAAAGTATACAAGTGCAATGTAACTTCTACTTTACGAAAGTACTCAAGAGCTTGGTTTACTTATAAATGCAAAGACAGATGACACGCAAATATGATGGCTCGTTTGAACAGATCAATCTTGAAATTCGTGTGCTCAATTTTTTTTAATCTTAATCGAATCAAATCGCTCGTTAGAAGTTAACAGACTCTGATACCATATTAAGATTTGAAGTTCCATCTTAAAAGGTCAACCTTATTAAGAGGAGTAGTCATAATCCTTATAAATTAGTCTATGTTTTCATTTTTATTCGATGTGAGATTTTATCCCTTAACATATAATGAGAAAGAAAAATGGGGTGCAGGTAAATGGTAGAAGTCTTCTTGTCAGCGTCCTATTTGCCTTAAGAAACGAAATTCAAAAAAGAAAAGGCAAATTATCAATTTCACCATGCTTCACATGAATTTGAGACAATTAAGATTCCTTGAAGTTATATGATTTAAGCAATCTTTAATACTTGGAGAATGCATTCATTGTGATACAAGTAAAAACAAATTCAGATATCATTTACCTTGGAAGATATAGTAGCAGATAGTGTAATTAAACATACAAATCTATTGAGTCTCTTGTCACAAAAAATTATCGGATTTAGAACCGGGGATCCCTCCGAGGATATTAACCTCGGATTAAGCTCTTATTTGACACCAATTTTTTTTTTTTTGTATTTTTAGAAGAAATTTGACCTTTGGTCTATGAAGTAACATTTTCTTTATCCATTTCGGTCGACACAAAAGAGACATGTAACTGTATCATTAACGGATTTTGATTTTTCTTCACCAATTTTGTCATTATCTCCAAAACAAAACATGCACAATTCCAACCAAAAGAAGGGGTATAATTGAAAAAAAAAAAATAACTATCAATAATCAAATACATGTGGCATTCAATGGTGGGCCCTATTGATGTGATTGGAAAATGAATTCTTTGGACAAAAAATGGCATCCAAACATGCTAAAATTTAATGGGGGGCCAAACGGGGGCTAAAACTCACAAAAAATGCAAGAAAAATCTAAGGGTCCGTTTGATTGCAAGGGTGAAAAATGGGTGGAAAGAAAATGTTTTATAAGGAAAAGATTTTCCTAGGAATTGTAATTAATTGTATTTGATTGGTATAATTTTCTACCTGAAAAATGTTGAAAGTTTGGTGTCCGTTTGACTTCGTTTTTTATGAAAATTGTCCATTAAAGTGATAATATTTTCTACCATTGGGTTTAGAATTTGTTCCAATTGTAATAAATAAATAAACAAATAATTGGAAAAANAGAAAAAGGTGGAAAACGTTTTCCATGAAAAAATTTACCTATCAAACAGCTTTTTAAGGGTTGAAAAGGAAAATGTTTTCCTTTTCCATGAAAAACTAAGGCTATCAAACGGAGCCTAAATGAAGCTATAAGATTACACAAATAATAATAATAATAAAAAGATTCATTGCTTGGGAAGTCCTTAAAAACACCAAGTTCTGGAGTAAACCATAACAGGGTTATCACAACAGTCTTTCTCACAATGTCTTCCAAACTCTCCAACTGGAGGAGATTGTCACCACTAAAAACCGAATCAAAAACCCATATTTCACAACTTAGAGCCAGTAACACATTAAATTACATGGAAAATATTTCAATGGAGAAAAAAAATACTTGATTTATTCAATTAAAAGTAAACTACAAAGTGAACAAAACTAACCTTTGAAAATTGGCGATCTCTGCCAATGATCAACGTCGATCCGGTTTGGGTCGTTTGTGTGTGAGCTATCGGTTTCATATTAAATTCGGCGAAAGAGGTTTTTTTTCTCTCTCTCTCATCTAGTTTCCCTTTGAGGGTATTTTAGCCTTTGTTGTTTATTTCAATTTTCAAATTTTTTTTTTTTTAACCTGTCAAAGGCCATTGTGGGAATATGGCACTATTTCCGCATTCTCTACCCGAAAATTTCAGCTTCCATTCGATCTTTCCTACCGGTGGAGCCTTACCGGACTTAGCCCAACCCATCATATTTCTACTAGAAAAAGCAAGAACTAATATGGGCCTGAATCATATTGGGCTTCGGCTCTATAATTTTTGACCCAACCCGACTTGAAAAGATTTCTTTCGACTCCATGCAACCATAATTACCAAGGCGTAGAAGGACTTGTCTTTAAGACATCTCGTATACGGCCCATTACCCATTGGTCTCCTAAAAATAAACACCGACAGGCACACGATAAATTTTGGGGCAATTACAGAAATACCCTATATTTTGGGGCACTTTTGAAAAATTATGACAAACTTGGAGTAAGTAGTAATTATATATAATTTCACGTAAAAAATACTGCCCCAGCAAGAAACAGCAAGAAAGGAAGAAGAAGAAGAAATCTTCCACGGATAGAGGGTCGGCTCCGCCAAATGCAATTCCGAGNAAAAAAAAAAAAAAAACAGTGTCGACAAACAGCAAGTTGGTGATCTTCTAATTCTTAATTTGACGTCTTATTTTCATTCTATCTCTGCAATTCAAATCTTTACCAACAATTCTTCTATATTATGTAAGGTAATCTTCTAATTTAATTGGTGAAAATTTGAAATCTAAGTTGTATTTGTTTGGATTTCTTCCAATTCTTCTATAAATTATGTAAGCTTCATTTGAATGATAAGATGTTTCGTGAAAGTGATATGAGGATTACTGCATATGGAAAATTACCTTTGAATCAATTACAATTACTTTGATGCATGCAATGTGTTTGACAAAAGGAGAATGTGAAAAAGTGAAGTTGTGTCACTTTTCTCAAAAAGTCACGGTAATCACCCAATTCGAATTCTGTCACTTTTCTATGAAAAAGTGACAATCTGTCACTTTTTTGACAATCTGTCACTTTTTTTTATAGAAAAGCTGTCACTTTTCTTTGTAATCTCTTGTAGGTATGGATAAAATTTCTTTGTAATCTTTTTGTCCCAATGGATTGCACGTACAACATCCTTGAAAGCATGATGTTTTCTGTGATGAAACTAAGTTCATCAACACAGAGAATAAAAGTACAATATAGAGTGAAGAAAAACCTACCTTTGATGGAGATTTCAGACGATATTTCTCTAA